AATGACGAAACATGATTAACAAACAAACATACATACGGAGAAATAAACATACAAACAAACGAACGAACGAACAAACGAACAGACCAGCAAACATACCAGCAAACAGACCAGCAAACAAACAACAAACCAATAAAAAAACTAACAATCGGGCTAAAAAACTTTACAAATAAAAAAAAACATAATAAACGAATTTACTCAAAAATAGACGAATACAAAATATTTCCGCCAAACCTAGCGTACAACGATAACAAAGATATATACAGTAATGTATTGTGACGATGAAAAAAGTCCTATATGTCGTATGTTTTGTAAATTTCTGGGGAGACCGGGCAAACCGCGACAGTCTTTTTCTCCGCATCTTTATTCATTCATCACTTCTTTAAAATTATTTATATCACTCCTAATGAAAGGTCCATAATGCGACTTTGATAAATTACATCACTGGCTTGGCTATAGCAGACTACACACACACGCACACATAAGCGCATGCCATGGGTTCGCTTTACACTTGTTCATAACACGGATGGAGTTATATGTGTTTGTGTATGTGTGCATGCATAAGCATGTGTGTATGTTTACACATGTGTGTATATATATATAGATATATATACTTATAAAGGCTTATGTATGCTTACATGTATGTGTTTATATATATGTGTGTGTGTGTGTATGTATGTGTGTGTGTGTTTGTATGTTTGTTTGTGTATTTGTTTGTGTGTGTGTGTTTATGTGTGTATAGGTATATATGAACTGGTGTATGTGCGTTGAATAAACTGTGAAAGTGATTATTTATATGTTTCTGTATGGTATATTTCAAGTTAGCATTAATGCCTAAAAACTCTGAATAAGACGGAGTTGTAAGATTTCTGTCAAATATTTAGGAGTGATAATTTTTTTAATCTGCTAAAATTGCCGGCTAAAAATAGAATAATCCGTCGCAATTTTGTGGATACAAAATGATAGAGAGAAAGAGAAAAATAGAGAGAAAAAAAGAAAAAGAGAGAAAAAGAGAGAGAGAGAGAGAGAGAGAGAGAGAGGAAGAGAGTAAAAGAAAAAAAAATGAAAAAAAAAGAAGCCAAAAAGAGAGAGATAAAAAAAAAAGTAAAAAAAGACAGCAAAAGAGACGAAGAAAGAGAGAGAAAGAGAGAGAGATAGAAAGAGAGAGAGAGAGAGAGAGAGAGACAGAAGAAGAAGAGTAAAATCTAATGAAACATGGAACCTTCACACGTTTTCAAAAATTTCATCTCGTCTTTTACAGGAGATTTATTTTGCATTATACAGCCACCTCCGCTGACACTACTACTACTACTACTACTACCACCACCACTACTACTACTACTACTGCTGCTACTACTACTACTACCACTACTACTACTGCTGCTGCTGCTACTACTACTATTACCACTACTACTACTACCACTACTGCTGCTGCTACTACTACTACTAGTACCACTAATGCTTCTA